GTAAATGTGTAAAATGGGATTTCACATACAGCCAAACTGTATTGTAAATATAATTTGTATACGAGTTAAAGAAAATGGAAAAGTTACACTTAAAGGGTAACGCCATCTTGTCAATCCTAAACTGATGTCTAACAAGGAAACATATCCAAGCGTCCGCCTTCGATTTGATCCGTTTTGAAATATGTTGTAGTGTATTAAAACATAAGGGACACGCGTTTTTTATACCTGTCCAATTTCATATTTAGGAGGTAAATCCACCTTACGAAGTTTTTGAATTAGTACTCGAGAAAAAGACTTTTCTGGGAAACTGGCCCATTAAATCTGAGTGGAAACTAAATTTCAATTTGTAGTTACGTCAGTATATGTTACTTGAACATTGGTTTGTTGAAAAAAAAAAAAAAACATTTCACAGAGTTAATTACTCTCGTATGCTTTAAATATACGTAAATTTGTGTATTTCACGAGATTGAAGCTATTTTTTCTTTAACGACTACTCCGAAAAACGTACTATTAAAGGTACAAGTGTTTAAATTTATAAAAGGTCATTTTACAAAGAGGGGTTGAATCGCCTTCTCAAGGTAAAAGTGGCATCCATGAGATCAATTGTTTATAAAACTTTTCTACGAACTGGCTATACCGCATTGTTTGAAATTTTATCACTTGAGCATGGAAGCCCTAAGAAAGATGTTGGGACTCACGAAATTCCAACATTTCGAACATATTTCAAAACGAATCAAATCGGAGGTAGACATTTGGGTATGATTTCTTATAAGTTTGTAACGGCACTGTAGATAAATTAATAACTTTATTTCAACGAATGTAAGCGTACTTTATTACGTAAGTCTTAAGGAGTAAAAAGATATTTGTTTTTAATTTTTCGTGCCTAAAATGGCGGCGTACAAGATAATTTGCGAAATCGCCTTTTCTTACAAACGCAATTTTGCGTGCAAAGTATCTCCGTCACGTTTCATTCTGGGTCAAAATACCAAAAACATACATCTATACATAATAGACTACTGGAATACGTAGGGGATTTTGAAAATATTGATTTTTTTTTAAATTAGCAGTTGTTTTATTTAAATGCATATTTTTACTCCAAACGTATGTTCATAAACAGCTGCCATAAAAAAATTAGTATTTTCAACCAATTCCACGTACTCCAGTGCAAGACATACATAAGAACCTTATGTTAAAAATTGAAGTTAATCGGACAGAAACTATAAACATAATTCTGCACGCAAATTTGAAAAACATTGTTTTGAGAAAAACGCGATCAAAGATGATGCGACACGAGCGATTTCCATTTGCGTACTGACGCCTCGCGTAAACCACGCGTAAATACGAAAATAGACGCTTCCAAACTGATTCACATATTTAATACAAATGCTGCCCTTAATACTATACTAATTAAACCTAATATTCGGCAGAAAATAGACTTGTATACCGATGGAGAATGCTTGTAGTTGCGCGCATGTACGCCTTTGATTCAATCGGCTCTAACACAGTAAAGCGGCTCGAATTTCGCCCCAAAACCACTTGCACCATATTCCTACGACCATAAGCTAATTTATTTAAGCAGAACATAAAAAATGGACTTTTTCAAACCCCTTAAGGTGGCGTTACTCCTTAACCCTTTAAGAACCAAAGGCACATATGAGTGCCATCAGTTTATTGTAATGTGTACCGGTGGTTTAATTACGGTCCTTAAAGGGTTGAATGCAAGTAATCATGGACATATAAGTTATCTAACTTAAATTCATTAAATGTTTACACATTTTTAATACATCTGAAAGAAACAGTTTACAATAATGCTTTATAAATCAGTGAATATTTAATACCCCGATCTAATGCCTTGAAGGCACTAAATTTCACAAACCTTCGTAGTTGTTTAAAAAATTAATTCGTTCTTTAACCCTTTTGTTCCTACTGCCAAGGATATCCAGAATCCATCGAAAGACCTGTAGATATGAAGGCCGAATATATTCGGCTTCCATTGAAAGACTGATAGATACGAGTGCCGATTATATTCGGTACTCATGTAATGTGTAATTTTTGGCGCCGGGTCCCGTTCAATGGCGGCGGTGCGATCCGCCGTAACGAAAGGGTTAAATAAATTATAAAAAATAAACCATTCACTTGTACAGCAAATTTGAAAGGAATATTTAATTTTAGTGTTCTTACCTACTTAAATTAAAATAATAGGAGGAAATATTATTCATATAGTCTAAAAACAATAAGGAATATAAAAAAGATCATATGATGATCCAACCCATCGACATATTCATCATTTGAAGGAGGCATGGCAGCCTAGATGAATAAAAAAATTGATTTTTTAATCGTACTTTCTCTAACTCTTAAATTTTAAAAATACTAAACATTTTTAATCAACCCTGTTATAAATGAAGGAAATTCGGAATTAAAATGGAAGCGAGACGAAGCGTAGGATTGAGCAAAGTATACCATTTAAATTTGGAACAAGTAAACAATTGTGTCTACGAGTCAAGGGGAGAATTGAGAAGAGATCACCGAAAAATCACTTTGATCAGTGAATAATGATATTTCGTAAATTAGAGTAAAAATATGGCAAAATACTGCCAGTAACACAGGAATATTATGCATTTAAGAACATTTATAATCATAATAGTCGATTTTTTATGCATATTCATATATTTAGTCAATATTGACTCAGCCCTGCTGAACATTGGTTCGATATTATGCCCATTTTATTTCAACCTTTAGAAAATGTTGATCTCCATTAAAGTAGATTGTCCGCCGAACAAAATATCTATTATTAGGTACCACTTCATCTTCGTGTGATTCAATAAAATAATCTTGTTTACTCAATTTGACATTTCTTTGGACGTATTTGATCGCAACATTTTCTTGTCGCGATGCGTACTTCTTTAAGTCAACCAACTTTCATTCTCTGTGTACGTTCAGCCGTATTTAACTTACGATGCACACGGCCAAGTGCGCTGTTATCGGCATGCTCTGCGCCAACGACTGCCATTCGCTCTGTTTCAAAATTTTGTTATTGAAAAAAATACAACGTGCACCTGAAATTGGTACTTTATAGTGGGCAAACTTCCATTTCAAGAAAATAATTTGTCTCGATAAAATAATTTCGGATGCGACCTTTAGCCGTCTAGAGCGCCATGCCTTTAAAGCATTTTCCGTCTTAACACAGCTACTAATGTTTTTTCAAGGTTTGTTTGTTTGTTCTCTGATGTCATATTCTACGTAACATGTACAAAACTATAATTGTATTACCCAGTGGGTATTTACTAGGGACGTTCGATTCCGATTAGATTTTTAAAAAAATTGATTCTTTTTAACACTTAAGCCGACCAAAAGGGGAGATCTCCCCGTTCGGTCGGCTAAGTGTTAATAGCGTTTTCAGCTGAGCTACATTGAGGTGCACTGGTGTAGAATAGCATCACTAAATGTGTTCAGCTGGTCAGCGCAGTACGTCCGGGGTCAGTGTATCATGTTCAGCTTGTCAGGGTCGTGTTGATGGTGCAACTATTTTGCACTCGATTTGTTTCACTTATACCCCCTTCACGGGGAGCACGTATGACAAAAGTGCAACATGGCGGCGCCCATGAACGACTAATCTCAGGTTCAGACCGAGAGCGGTAAATGATGAGTAGCAATTAGAAACGTTTGCGATAATTAATGAAAACAGTCACGTCATTGACAAGAAATTTCTAGACAGTTCTTTTTTTTAAATTTTTGACAATTGTAGTTTTCAAAAATTTCCGCGTTCGACTGATGCGGTATCACTAGGTTTGCTCATTTTGCCTACACTTTCTACACTTTTACGAAAAGTGTACACTTTGGGGTTCGTTTTGACGGAAGTGACGCAGCGTCGCTGTTCGTTTTACGAGTGCATCTACACCGAGTGTATGTACACTTTCTCTACCCTTTCTACCATCGATCCCGAGCGAGTGCGCAAGTGTGGCCCGCGAATTTGGCGGCAAATTTCAAAATTGAAAAGACCAGCAAACAGGAAAATACAAAATTTATGCTAACATCTCAACGTAATATAAACAGAAGTAATTATTAATACATCTTCTTCATGTATAGAACGATTTAGCGTTTTAGTTTTGTACATAATGTTTGAAACAATTTACAATTATTGCGTATTACTACCTAACTGCGGTTGGAATGAACTAAACCATCATTTTTCCCTGTTGTAGTTAAATTGTTTTTTATTCTACTGCAATGATATTCTGACCCTTATTGATCCCAAATACCTGAAATTCGCGAAAGGAATTTTCATCTTCTACAATTACAAGGTAATAGAACGAATTGTAGGATTTGAAGAAAACGAAGACAGCTCAAGAAGGAAGGCTGGAAGAAGCGGTACATTCTCGTATTCATCATTGTCCGATACAGGTAACCTCAAAATCGCGTACCACTCTGCTAAATCGGTCATCTTGGACTTTCGTGAGGTTTCTGGCGTTCGGGACGTCGATGAGAGTGTATCTACCCTTCTACACTTTTCAAGAAAAGCGTAGTACAGTCGTTACACTCGAGTGTAGAAAGTGCAGTCAACGCGAACAAACCTACTGATGTAAGGAAGTGTAGCCCAGCTGATAACGCTATAACTGAAACAGTAGGGTGGAGAAACTCGCTTCGCTCATTGGTTGCTGCTTATCGCCACAAGATTTTCTACTAAAAGTCACGCCGTAACGCCCTTCCGTCGTTTGACTTTCAACAATCAATTAGAACCTCCAAATTCTTTTCATTCTCGTGGATGGATTGTGACTAGTAAAAATGTATTAATTAAATTTGTGTCAATTATATATAACACTTTTTCCAATTTTTTGAATAGATTCTTTGGATTCCGATTTTTAAGAGAATCGATTCTTCACGATCCGATTCAAAATCGATTCTTTTATGAGAATCGAACATCCCTAGTATTTACATTGAAGTGAATCGACGAACAATCACGCTTGCTTTGATAGTATTTTGGAGTGAAAAACCATTAATGATTTATTGCAGCTTTAAACAGTTGAAAGGCTATTAACTGAATTGCTAATCGTTTACCAAGGAGAATTTTGTCCATGAGGGTGGTGCTGTCCGCCGTAACGTGGTAAAGTTGCAGCTCCACCGTAAGGCCCTTGAGGAGGGTAAGGGTAGGCCTGTCCACCTATAAATAGTTTTGTTCATAATGCGTCAACGTGGTTAAAATTGGTATTTAGAAACTAGTTAAAAAAAAAAAAAGGTATTCTTTAGTGAAATTACCTTGCATTGGGTAAGGCATAGTTGCATACGGATTATATGCCGCCGGCATTGGAGGCGGTACATAGGTGGGGTAAGGAGTTGCGGGCGTCGCTCCATACGGCATAGGCATACTACCATGGAATTGAGTAGGGTACGGTAGTTGTGATGTACTGTCAGTGCTTGGTTGAGGTTGACCTCCTATACGCGATAAACAAGTGACATCCATTAAAAGTCGTCAAAACATGCTTTACGAAATTAAGGTGAAGCGAAACCCGCCTTAAACCAGTGAACTCAAGAGTCAGCTGTAGTGGACTCTTGAGCCACAATCCGACAATGTATTAAGATTTTATTTACCGGAAGCATATTAACACGTTGACTGCCGCGTCACCCATATTCGGGTGACATAGCAGTTAAATAAAATGCGCATGGCAGTCAACGTGTTAAAGTCAATTAACAATCTTACCTCCATAGTGAGCTGGGATTGTCGGCGTTGTTGCTGGACCTGCATGGCTTAAGCTGGTGGTCAAATCTTTCAGCAATTCATCTTTCTCAGTTTTACGTGCAAAACAAAAATCGGATATTTTATTTTGGAACACCACCAGGAGCTGTAACAAGTAATTTTGTGTAAACATATATCTAATAAATTTGCTTTTCATCATAACTTTCTCGTATTATGCTTACACTCGTCAAGTCGTTGTAAAATTTAATGCCCTCCTGCAGTCGACTTTTCAACTCTTTGAAAGCATCATAGCCAGCTGCAAGTTTGCAGAGTACTGCTTCCCGATTAGTTCCACTACCAGATTGTTCAGCTGTAAACTCTGCATGCTTAGCCTACATTCATATACAGTTCTAATAAGTTCAAAACGTCTATAAAAACATTAAAAATGCGCTCCCAATCTATTGTTCATTATTACATAATCATACCTGGATTTCTTCAATCAATGCTCTTTGACGATCTGTGTTTTCTCGAACTTGTTTCTGTAACTCGCTATAGCATTGACCAATACTTTCCATAGATAAATTAGGTTCATCGATCGCACCATCCTTAGCTAATGCTGATAAAAACCTAGATTTCATATCAATAGTAGTGGATTTGAGCTCATTTTCAATAACGTCACGTTCTGCTTTCAAGGTCTCTACCTGTCAATAATATTTTTATTTTTTAGAAACATTATGTTCAAAGTTATATTATGTTCTCAAATTATCTTTCAGAGATATTTAAAACTCACTTCTTCCATTAGTCTTCTTAAATTGGTTACAACATTACTTTCTTGAACTCCAGATCCTGCAGGGATTGCATTGGCAAGATCGCCCTCATTACCACTGAGAATTTCAATAGATTCTCGATTGGTTTCAAATGTTTCACGAACCACCTATAATTAAAAAAAAAAAAGTTTCAAAAGACAGTTTGTTCAATAATAATATTAAATGACAGATTTAATCATACTAAATTACTTAGAGACGTACTCTTATAAATGGATTTAAAAAATCAAATTTTATCCTATTTGTTAAATGACAGAAAAATACCATTATAATTGAAATAACACTAAGAATTTTTAATCCAAGTGTAATTATTTTTACTCTTAAATTAATATTGTTAGGACTTACTTTATCAGCGTTAATTGCGTTATTAATGATTCCTCTGTACTTCTGTGCATTAATAGTAAACTGTTCAGTCAACTTTGCACTGGATACTCTCGTCCAGCGTTCCTTAAATTGCTCTCTTAATTGATTATCAGAATCGTTTTCTTCTTGTAACATTCTCTCCGACTAAACCAACAATAAATAAGATAGTTATTGAAGTAATAATTTTAAACCTTTAATATCGGATATTTATTCTGAGAAGTACCTCATCTAATATTTCTTTATTACGCTGTAACAACTCTGGTAACTCATTCAGGTTTGCTTCTAAAGCGTTTATTCCGCCAGACTGTCTGACATATGTTGCTTTATCGAGCAATGATTGTGGTACTTCTCTCCCGCTTGTATCTTCAATAGCCGCTGGTAAGTTTAAGCTCGTTAAAATACTGTACGTAAAAGAGTAGTAAAATGAGTCAAAGGTAAAGGTTAAAAACAACAAGAAAAATGTAAATAGCAAAACATTATACCCATTGAGATCTTGAGTTGCTTCTCGTAACTTAGAAATCAATCCATTAACAAATTCGCTTCTTCGACTTTCGTAAGATGATAATGCTTGATGGACAGTAACAGGTAGCAATTCCGCAAACAAGTCTGGACAAATACCAATAATAACATGAAAAGGTATTTTTAAAAGAAAAATAAATTAAATTTCACCGTGAATGGAGTACCTTTAAAATTAGAACTGAAGCGTTCAGGTAATGGTAATAATTTTGCAACACTGGCTTTTCCAATGGGATCTAAACTTTTTATGTCTGGAATCCTTTGATGGTAAATAAAATCATTATCCTTCTTAACCTCCACTAAATTTCTTTGGGCTCTATTAGCATAGTCTTGAAATAAATCTGATTTATTTGATCGCTGCTGTGCTGCTTTGAACAGTTCCACTGCATGCTGCATGTTATAATTATTAACGATAATTAAAATTTGTGAAAGTATCCACGAAATAGTAAAAAAGTACTGACCTCTAGCCGGGCTATTTCATCTCCAATTGCTTTAGTACTTTTGCAAACTAATGACTGATAAAATTCGGCCATCGCACGGTATCCGGCCTGCTTTCCTGCAATCTAAAAATGTCATTAAGAACGTTTTTTAAAAATGCTTTAAACGCACATTCGTCCTATCATCCACCCTTTTTAATATACATTGAAAGAACAATCATCTAAGTAAGGAGTAATAAATACATAACCACAATTAACTTTAATAGTTTTCAAAAAATAAATCACATAAATATTATATAAAGAATTCACCCGAAGTTTAGGCACAAAAATAAAGAAAAATATATAGGTGGATATCAATAAATTTGTATTTCATTTATAACCATTAACCATTAATGATCATTTTTAATACATATTTCTTACCAAAGGTACCCATTCTTTATCCCAGAATGCTCGGAATATCTCTTTTTGGAACAATTTCAGAGCTTCCGCGTACAGATCTTCTGAATGTGCTGCCAGTCTAGCAACTACTGCATCTTTCATACCATCGTGAATAGCTTTATATACAAAAATTTCTTGTCCTTGTGCAAGCATTAATGCTGACAATGCACTTAAGGTTTCTGGGCTCATATCAGGAGTGGGTTCTTGTTGAATGGCTAGCATGACGTTTCCCTTCAAATAATTAAAAATTCCTGCCGATTGCTAAAAAAGATGTTATTAAGTATTTTAAATGATTTTTATCAACTTGCATGGACATATTCCCCAGTATCCGCCCTGATTCTGTTTGTTCCGATACATATTGAAAGCATAAAAGAACTACAAGGAAAATTTGTTAATATATCTGTAATCGTCCACATTTAAAAGAAGAAACAACCAACTAATGTTTTGAGAAAATTTGATTTAAATATTGATTCTCAGAGAAGCTTTCAAGGAATGTTAACGAAACTTGGCATTAATATATTTGGTATCGGAACAATACAATAACAATGTTGTTTGAAATATATCAGTTTACCTCGTTTTCCATAGAAACATTTGTATGCATGTAAAATCGGTACCTGTTTCGTTGTATCTGTTGCGAGTTTTTAGGCTCACCAACATATATCAAGATGAACAAAATTAAGGGCGCTTACTTAGGACTGTTTTTCTATTAGCACAAATATTAACTCTATTCTTTAGTATAAAATATTAACCTGAAACAACTTAGCTGCCAATTTCAGTCCTTCGTCACTTTCAAGTAACTGCATTGCTGCAACTGAACTTTGCAAAGCCGCAATATTAAAAAGGACACATACTTTCTCATAAGCTAATGAGCTGATTGCTGAAAAAATTAAGTGAATAGAGAATGATTATGTAGTTCCTAATCTTGTTACCTAAGAATTGATATTAAAATAATTGTAGAAAAAACCTTAAATGTATAAATATATGTTACAGGCAATATGACAAATCCGGGCACTTTAGTCAATGCCTAGGCAATGTGAAGAATGCCCAGCAAAATTAGGCAATGTGATTAATTTCACGGTGATTATCACAACTTCCGATATTGAAGGGTCAACATGGATACTATCAATACAATAAGTGTTAATAATAATAATACAAAATTGTGACTTGGTCTCTCTAGGAGCAATTAATTAGCAATTAATTCCCATAAGAAATCTTTTGATTCTTGCAATTTTGTGTAACTATGCGGCAATATCATAAGCATTAACATATAACCAGAAGGGTTTATTACATTGTCCGATGAAAATAGGAATTCGTCTAAATACCCAATTTGTCACATTGCCTATAACATATGCATTAAAATAAAAATAATCCGTTATATATTACCAACCATTTGGCATGAGTTATCTAGATTAATTCTGACTTATTATACACCATTCTTCAAGTATATTTAAGGTTAATAAAATTTTACTAAATTAATCCATGCTTACTTAAACTTAACTTCGCCCCGAACATAGTACGGTCGAAAGCATCTTTCCATTTAAATGGTATTTGTAATTCATGGGCAGGTATCTTCCCTTCCAAGGCACACACCTGATCATAATAACTGGAAAGCAGAGGTATTTCTTGGTAGATTGCATCATGCGGATACAATTAATCTTCATTTAGACTGATAAGAAAAATGCTACAGTGCATTCTCTTATACCTTATTGAAAACTCAAAATGAACCCTAAGCCGAAAACGCGAGACTAAAGAAAAGAGCTTTATTAATTAATTAGTACTGACCGATAATCGGTACTACGTCGGCCTATTGAAGCAATGAGTAATTAATAATGAGTCATACCTGTAAATAACCTCAAGAGAAGACTCGTACTTTTCGAAGGCTCGCCACAGAGCATTGTTTCGTAACTTACTAAATTCATTAATAGCTTCGGAATAATTTTTTTCACTGCCTGCCGAATTGTAAGTTGATTTAATGACGTTTGTCAACGGTTTGACGACATCTACGTCGGACGGTTTCTTCAGCGGTATCGCGATCAGCTCGGCCATCTTAGCAACTGATGTCAGAGCGGACGTATGACTGGACTGAGCTCGCGGACTGATTACATCGAACGTCTTGTGACGTTTTTTCATGATGCCCCGCTCACAAATTTAGCATTAATTTCGAAAAAAAAGATAAAGTTATAAGAAATATTATTCTAACACAATCTAATCTCTCAGCTATCACGTAATAATTACAAAACTTATCCCGGCTTCTGATAAACTCAAACGTATGTACAAAAAACATTTGAATTTCTCGAACCGCTTAAGGCCGATATTTCATTAGCGCTACAGCACTGAAGTATATAGAGTATATACGTCTCCATCGTACTTAAAATCCGGGATTTATTGGGTAAGGATCCAGTATATCCAAATTTAAGAGTCGATCGAGGCGCTCAGGATCGGACTCGAGTAAGCCGAATTTAATTTTAGGATTGGACTCAATAAATATCAGATTTTGGGATGACGAATATGGTGCGGATCGGATATATTCTACAGAGATGAGTTGGAATGTTGCTCACGGACTGGGTCGCACAATCGCGTTTTATCCTGCCCTCGATGGAAAAAGCCCGCAGATCGCGCATTTGCCACCTAATACCTCTTCAGTGGCGGCCAAACTTAGGTATACTCCTCATCTCTGTGATAACAAACATCCTTTAATATCTTTTAACATCTTTTACCAACAAGTCCAGCAACCGGACCCGCTCGGGCCGGCGGCCCGACAAAAAACGACTTCGCCCAATCCGGGAGCCGGATCGTGGGCAGCGGTCGCGGCCCGACCGACGGACGCAGTTGCCCCGGAGAAGCTGCCGCGATAAGACGCCGTCAGTAATCTTTAGCGGCGCGAAATATTGCTCAATGACCGACGGCATTCTTATTCGTGAAGAGATTTAAGAGAAGCTCCGTAAATGACGGGGTGAGGAGCACGCAGTTTCCGTGCCGACGCGCGGGGGACTCGAAGTCAAACAGTCAATGTACCACAGTGATCATGGGTCGCGAGTGCCAGGATTAAATATCGTTCAATGAAGGAAGAGGAAGCGGAAGCAGCAAAGGCAGAGGAAGCGAAAGCAGAGGTGGAATGCAGATGGAGGCAGGGCGGAGGCAGACGGAGCCGAGGCCACAAACAGCCAGGTCTCCTTTGGGAGGGATCTTCTGGGGGAGTACCGCACGGACAAGACGAAACGTCCTGTCGGTGAGTTTTCACGTTTCCTTCCTCCGACCTCCTCCTGTCGCACGACGAAAGGTCCGAATCAGCACGGAGGCCGGTTGTACATATGTTTCCTAATTTATTTGAGGGACCGCGGGTCGACGGAACGACTTCTCGCCGACTCGCGAGTGGCCGTGCGGATTTTATTTGTTTTTTGTGTGTCAATTTAGATTAGGGATAGATTTCTCCCGGGTACGTGGTAGATTTCGGTTCGCAATCCTTAATCGAACGCCGGGAAGTCGAATGACGCTCCAACTTCGGTGCCGACGGTTCCGCGGAGTTTCTTCGGTTAAATAAAAAAAGACGTAGGAGAAATGTTTCGCGAGGAATGGGACTCGAGTCGAGGTAGCACCTCGATGTTCTTACAGGACGCCTTAGAGCAGCCGCCTCGACGAGGAGTCAGATTCAGGGATTATAGGATTTTTCGGCCAAGCCTTCCACTATCCTGGGGACGTAGTGCAAGCTAGGCTTGGCCTTTCTCTCTTGATGGAATTCTGAATTATAAAAATCGAGTAGAGTCGATAGCTCGTTTTAGCGATGTTGAAATTAATCATGTTAGGATGTTTTCAGCGTCATCAACGGTAAGGGCCTCTTTCTGAAACACGTCGAGGAACTTGATCAACGTCGATAAAGAAGATTTTTCTAAATGCCTACGTTGCCGACGTTCCGTTTTATATTGACAGCTGGGTCGAATTATATTGTGTATTGTACCAAATGGCATATTCCACCTGTCGTTTTCGTACAATAATTATAAAGAAATCGAAGTAAAACTCCAGAAATCTTCTGGATTCATGCTTTCTGGGGCCCTAATTGATTGCAGAGGGACCCCCTTCACCTTAAAAGATGTTAAACTATATTTGTTATCACAGAGATACGTTATCGCGCACTTGCCACCTGTGATACCCCCAAGTGGCGGTCCAACTTTGAGATAAGTTCACAGCAGAGATGAGGAGAATCCCTGGGTTAGGTCACCACTGGGGGTATCAGCGGGCAAGTGCATGAGACGCCCGCATTGTCCACCGAGGGCAGCACAGAACTCGATCGCGCGACCCTGCCCGTGAGCAATCTCCCAATTCATCTCTGCTTATGAGACTTTCGACTCTATGTAATCCTCTTTGCGTCATGCCATATTGTGGCAGTAGCATACGTGGACATACGTTGTCGTGACGCTCGTTGATTCTGGTCAGTCAAATCTAGTGCCGCACAACTCTCATTAGTACGGACTAACGGGAAGATGGCACCTAAACAGAGAATGCGTATCGCCAACGAAAAAGCCACGAAGAACATTACTCTACGCGGAAATGTTCCGAAGTCGTCGGTAAGTTGCTTAATGTTTTAAGATGACGGTGATCGCCAGCTGTCTTTGACGCTAATTCCCTTAACATTTAGATGGTCTTCTGAATTTGATATATTTTAATGTTTTTGAGTATTATAAGAACATTGCTAAAACATATGTTTGAAGTTGTGAGGAAAATTGTCACGAATTTTCTCGTAATTGTGAGGTTATATTCTGACATCTGGGAGGCAGTTTCGTTCATGTAGTCGGTTTTACCTGTGGATGTGAAGATTATTTTGTAGATTAAATGCTTAAACGTATCAAATTATTTCTTATTCGGTGACTCAATCTAGAGCAAACATTTCTAGCATTACAGTTATTCATTAATGCTCATTTACACATGGCAATATGTATCAATATTTGAGTGACCGGTAGCCTATTAATCATTTTTATGATACCCGTGATTACCATTTACATCCAAAATCGCCAATTGGTAAACTGTTAATACATTTGAATGGTAATAACTTTGATAAAATAACCACTAAACTGAAGTTATTGTAATTCATTTAATACCGAGTGATATTCTTAAAATATTTTATAAATACGTAATATGTGTCTATTGAAATTTGATAAATTGTCTTTCTCTTTAGAAAGCCCAGGAGGAAGGATCGCCTGTGGGACCTTGGTTATTAGCACTATTTATTTTTGTTGTCTGTGGATCTGGTAAGTATTTAAAAAAGATTATCGAAATTTTTACTTGAATAAAAAGCCTACATTAATAAATACCGCCTTATTTCAGCAATCTTCCAAATTATTCAAAGTATCAGAATGGTATAGAACAATCAAGTCTACAAGCACCATGCTTCAACATAATTATAACATTAAAATAAGGAATGTTCTATGTTGATTCAACACGGAATCCATGCTCCTTTGGAGTTTGACTGATGTTTTCACTATAAAAATGCAGAGCCTACATGATACCCCATGGACTGAATGGGTTTATGATTACATCATTGGAAGATCATTAAATTGAAGATATATATTTTTCCTTCTTACATCAGTTCATAGTTTTGGATTTATAATATAGCATTTATAAGCGTTTAACATAATTGCAATGGTTAATAATTATGAAGTTAAATCATTGGTGGAAGGGTTGATTAAAACATTTAATTAAAATCGTATGAAAATAGTGATCATTGTTTGCGATCGGAAGGCTCTGAATTTTTTTACACGTTTTATAAATGTCAGTGGTAACTACTCAATATATTTTTGAAGTGTATATTTGAAGAAGCAGGTAATAATAGGTATAATGTGCAGATAGCATGAATTCTTCCACTGATGTTGATGTAGCAAATAATTGTATATAACAAAAATATTCAATAATGATTTTTCTTGAGCATTCCACACAGAGTGGATGGTAGCATTGCTTTTTTATCGATAATTCTAGTTGAAAATGGAACTATTTAAAAAGCATTCAACTGTCACAGGATTGTGCGAGAACTAAAAGCTACCAACACTCATGGTCTTCATATTTAAGTAATATTATCAATAAAGATCGTTTTGTGAAATAATACTGCTTAATAATAATTGATTTTGTTTTGTAATGAAGTGTAACCAAGTACCTCCAAAAAGATATTTACTGTTTTTAGCAAAAAAACTTGGTTGATTGGTGCAATTCTTGTTAAAAATTGCTTTTTTTTTGTTAATAAAATCCCCTATAAAAACATCTTTATGTAAAAAAACCTTGCCACATACTAGACCTTACGAGATCCTCTATTTAAAAGTAAGAACTATACGAATTCCATATGTTCTTACATCCAAAAAGTATGCGAAGCAATGAAATTGAGCCACAAAGCTAAGGATATAAGTAGCTGAACATTCTCCGGTAATATCTTATCACAATTTTTCATTTACAAAGTTTCATTCCTTCATTAGTTTTGTTATCACTGCTTATTACATTTAAATTTATTAATATAATTAGTTAATATGCAAAACATTAAGTGATATCTCATGTGGTATTACTTAGCCAATCCGTGTTTATTGAAACAAATTTCTTTTTACGATTTTATTACTTTACCGACCGGAAACCTATTAATTGGTTTTGCGATATCCGTGATCGCCATTTACATCTAAATTTGCCGGTCGGTAAAGTTAATATTCGATTCTAGACTGGGTCTTTTATAAATACAGTCTCCTAGCTGTATTAAAATGATTCTACGTTGCTGTAAATGGATAGTATGAAGATATATTGTCAAGTGCAAGCACAGCACAAAAGGTGCAAATATTTAGGAACTTATGTACTTGCCTTTTTGGTATGCTATTAGTACTTTTCGTACATAAAAGCATAGTGTTGAATCTGAATAGTTCACATTTTCAAAAAGAGAGATTTGCAGCAACCCAGTACTTAGCAAGGTTTATTTATAAGGAGAGGCTTTTGTAGGGGATTTTACAAACTTTCGATTTTCAATAATTTATTTATTTTAAAATCATTCCCCTTAATTTCAGTCTATAATTTTCTGCAGTAACATTATTTGCTATCGTTTCTTATTTGTTTCAATTATTCTGATAAAATAACCCTTAATAATATACGACAGACTGACTTTATTTCGCGTTTGTTAGTTATTTTAACAACCGATAAAAAAAAAGAAGAAAGTTAACAGTTTG